ATATATATATTATAGTATGAAGTATAAGTCATCCTGAGTTAAGTTCCCTCAACTTCAGAAATGAATTAATATCTACTTGTAGGCACAGGAGGAAAATCCTGCTAAGAAACCAATGATAGTATAGCACAGATAAACAATCTACCATCTAGACAATAGGTCCCTTAATCACTACTAATCTGCTTCTTATTTAATGATATACAGGTTTTCCTTGAAATAACAATAGTTGTACATATCCGCCTGAAGAGTGTGGTTGGCCCGCTAACCATACAAAATAAATATTGTAGTGTAATTAAATAATATGAAGTAATCAAGTTTTACCTTCGTTTTGTTAAATATATATATATATAATATTTGTAAGAATAATAATAATTGATCTGTTATTTGCCATACGAAACAATGTTGTAGTGGAATTAAATAATATAAAGTAATCAAGTTTTGCCTTCGTTTTGTTTTGTATTTAGCTCTACCCCAGTATCGAGCACTCTACTCCAGACGATCTTGAACCTTATATATATATATATATATATATATATATTATAATGTTAATAGGATTAAAAACAAATTATATGATATTAGGAAATTTTTAATCGAATCTAAAATTGATATTTTTGGTATTGCCGAAACATTCCTCAAATCTGAGGAAGTTTTGAATATTGTAATAAATAAAACCATGATGAAAATGCTTATATTTAGTTTCAAACACACGTGTATGGCCTATATTATAAATAAGATAAGCCCTATGTCGTATTGTTTTCTATATGGGGAGTGGGGTGGGTATGTTCAATTACTAACCGGGAAAATAAATACCCACTCTGACCCAAGACCCCTGTTACGCGCCTGGTGTTAGCGCCAATGTGTGCCCTTGTGCGGACATATGATGTGCCCCCTCTGAAGCTGGAAACCTTGTTTTTGCAAAATAAATTGATGCAATTTGCTATTATAGACCTAATCAATAAATTCCTCATCAACCGATATAACCTTAAACATTCTTGGAATTGACATAACATAACTGATGTCGTACACACCCTTCAGTGTAAAATGTGGCTCTCTTTGCATGCACATCTAACATCTAAGGAAAGAAGAGCTTAGATTGGTACCAAATAAAATAATTTTGTTATCAACATTAATACATTATGCTAATTTTCATCATTGTAAGCGCATAAGACAGTGCAAATTATTTCTGTGACAGTCTTTTGAAGTGTGTAAAGCTCCATTTTATCCCATACATAGTCAAAATATTGCGGGGATGATACAATGGACCATCCCCCTTGTCAAATATTGGGGACGCTATATTATATCTGTCTCTTATACACATCTAGATGTGTATGCAAGAGATGCTCATAATGATGCTGATGATGATGATGAGAGTAAACCATGATGATGAAGAGAATGGTGGTGTTGTGGTGGTGATGACTGATTATAACAATAATAGCAATAATATTAATGATAGTAATATAATTTCATTTCATTTCCTTTATTTATTTCGCCCCAAAAAGGTCCAGGAATTGTAAAGGAGCCAATGCTCCTTTGACTTGGCAAGCTAGAAGTCCCAACAAAAATGTATTAAAATAATAATATTTTAGTAAGGTATGTAACAGTATTGAATATGCGTACATTGATGTGTATTAGGCCTACAATATTAATATGTCATTGTCAAAATATACCACCGATGCGATTTTATAATTATTTCTAAAAAAATTGACATCATGAACGAATTATTCAATAATAAATGCAATATAAAGTACAGAAAAATCGATACCGTATGAGAACAATTATTATTTTTTTCCGTACAGTAAACTTAATGGCATATCAATGCAAACATGAATTAAAATTTGTTGTGTAATGAGAAACATAATAATTCTAATTACTATCTGAATGCAGTTCATTTATTAACAACAGTAAGCAAAATCAACTAGTTTTCAAGGACGATGCCTCCATTTATTGATTCATAAAAAATCATAAAACTCATAAGATAGCGTCCATACTTTACTAGATTGTCCTCCTACGCACGCAGCCCAGATGACGTTATCTCGTCAATGAATTTCCTTAAACTACACGATACATGTTAAGATTATGTTACAAACTTCCTAATTAATTGTAAAAGCTTCCCATTGGCTAAATGTATATTACATGTTGCTATACATTGATATATGTACACATAGGCCTAAAATAATTTAATTTTAATATTTTCTGTTTTATTATTAGGTCGTTATAGATTTATTATTATATTATTACTTTATTTTGTATTTTCTCTTTTGTATATTTTATAAATATTTCATGTAGGGGCCTATTATATATATTAATATATCTTTATAGTTCTATCTAAAAATATGTCATTGAGCAACTGACCGCTGTTTTTGGACATGGATATTAATGCTCGCACTGTTGATTGGTTGATTAATTAATTACAATATATTATATTTATATTGGAGAATAATTATCATATAAACATTGACTTCATTGTGTCCGTGTACTTAATTATTGGTTATCGTGCCGCTGTGTAAATGGTCTTGTTGCATGCCAACCAATTCGAAAATCATTTGTATAATATATATACATATATATATATATATATACATATACATATGTATGTATGTATATATTTTGATACATGTAAAATTCGTGATGCGACACCGAAATAGAATACATTGGACTATGAACAGCCCGCGAGAATGCTTGAAAAGTGAGTACAATACTCACTCATAAACGTTTTATATTCTTCACACACCGGAGGCATTTTGTATCAGCGTTGCTATCGAGATTTGATGGGGAAAACGTGTACGATGTGTACTGATCGTAAAATCTATAGATTTTAATTAAACCTATAATTCTTTGTTAAATTTAATTAATTGTGATATTCCGGTACCAGCCCGAGAAATGGTAGTAAGTGCAGCAGTAGTGTAAAATACAGATTTTATTATTATAACCAATGATATGATTCCTATATTCTTCTATAATTGTTATAATTTCGCAGATTTTTTACGGATTTTGGTATTTTATACATAGGCCTACACAATGATGATTATGATGATGATGACAGTGATAATGATGATTGGGACGATGATGGTGTTTATAATTATAAAGATAATGATGATAATGAAGGTGATGATTAGGATCATGATGATGATGATGGTGTTGGATGATGATAATGATGATGATGACGAAGAAGATGATGTTGATGATGATGATGATGATAAAGATGGTGATGACAAAAGAAGATGATAGTGATTATCATAATGGTGATGATCAATATCGTTAGGATGATAATTACGATGATGAGGATAAGATTAGGATAAACTTGTCGATGACGATTATTATTAGTATTATTATAACGGTGATTATTTTAATGATTATAATGAAGGGAAATATAATGATGGTGAATTGAATATGATGAAGAAGAACATTATGCTGATGATGTTATTGATGATGATGATCGATGCTGATGATG